GAACAACCCAAGTGTAAAAACCATTTTTGAGACTATTAGAACAAAATAAAGTTCAATATACACTGGGTATTAGATGATATTGAGGAATTATTGTTCATTTTATTTGGTATAATTATTGTTCATTTTATTTGGGTGGTGGGCATGTGTGTGTGTGTTCATATCTGGTAGTGATGCTTTAAAAAAGAAATGAACATCATGGGTTTGCTATCATATGAGACTTACAAATCTTGTAATTATAGTCTTTCACAGTTGTAACAGACTTTAAACATCACCTAGGCCAGGCATAGAAAAAACATTTCAATTTACAGGCCAAATCCAATTTAATAGTGATGTACTGAGAAGAAATTTTGGTCTTTACAAGTCAAAGGAAAAAAAGTCATGATCCATTAGCAACGTTGGCCAAGGGCACAAGTTAGGAGAGTAGGGCCATATGTACAACTATCAGTCACCTTGAGAACCCAGAGCCTAGTAGTCTTTCAGGGAGCTTATTACTTGTCAAGTCAACTCATTACTTCTTTAGACAACTCTGTCTATTAAGTTATTTTTTATATTTTGAGCTGAAATCTTATTTTCTATAGCTTACCACCACATGACAAAATGATTAAGTTTAGTTCCATTTTGACTTGACAGTGTTTGAACTATTTGGGAACATTCTCCTGTCCTTTCCAAGGCTAAAACATCAACCATTCCTCACACGGCCTGGTCCCCCCTCTGCCCCTCCCCCCATCCTCACCACTCGCCACTGACAGGCACCAATTTGTCTCTGCCCCTCTCCCACAGTAGCACAGTAAAACTGTTAATGTCATTTTGTCAAAGCATAATCCAAAAAATGCCTTTACTGAGTTCAAATTTTGGTTTTCAGAATCTCTGCATTCATTTTTAATTCAGATGTTCTATCTTGAGCTCAATTTGGTTAGTCTGTTGAAGCCTCCTAAAATCTTTCTAGTTATCAGCCACATCTGGGTCAACTTAAATGGATTTCTCCGAGCATACCACTGTCTTCCCACATTTCCAGGTTCTGGCATGCTACTGGCCAGAGAAACTACAAAAAAAGACTCAGAGTGCCCTTCCTGATCCTTCAGTGGCTTCTCAAATCCATCTACAGACTGCCAGTCTTACAAAGAGAACTTTCAATCCTACAACTGTGACCTGAGGGACACTAAGCCACACACTATGAGACAACTTGTTTGCTTTGGCAGAAACGAAAAATAGGTTACCACAAATTGGCTCAACATAAGTACCAAAGCAAGCTTTAGTCATTCACTCAACATGTGTTGCAAAGACTGGACTGGGAGACTGAGAAAATGAGAATAAATGACATAGTGGCCATGTCAACAAGCACACAGTGACTCAAAAGTAAAACATATAAATAACTCAAGTGACGTGACCAGTGTGATACAAAGAGCTATGGGGGTTGAGAGAAGAGGTGGGTTTCTTTGGCTGAGCTGGCGAGGTGGCAGAAAAGGAAGCAGAAAGGAAGTGAAATTAGGACAACCTAAGGAAGAAAGCAAGGGCAGGAGGGACTGGAACAGGGGAGAAGTGAGAACAGAATAAATACCAATGGGTTGAGCAATCTGATTTGGCTAAAGCATAGGGTTCGTGAATACTATTAGTGGGAAATCAAGTCTGGAGAAACACAAAGAGGCAAACCTGAATGAGACTGCTTTCTATATCCGATTCCATTAATCAAAGGGTGCTTACACCAAATAACATGCAACCCATCAAAAGACACAGAGAGGTGTAAAAGGAAAAGAAAGGCCCCCCAAATCAGAACCTAGGCCAGAAAAGAAAAATTAAGTAAATAAACAGGGATAGAAAAAAGCAAAGGCTGAGAAGGAAAGAAGGTGATCATTATGTTCCCACTCACAGGAGGATCCTCTACTATTAATTCCCCTTTCTTGACATTTAAATGTACTGGTTTGCAGCTTCTCTTCCCTCCTGAAAGGAATCTCCAGGCTGAGGTTTCTGATCCATATTTGTCTTCTCCCTGTCCCTTGGTTAACTACCACTTTCCCTAAACCACCTAATCCACACCCAGCAAAAGAGCCCACGCGACTGATCCCTAGAGAGTGTTGGCGAAAGAAAAGCTTGATGTTCAGAGGGCAGCTCAGCGTCTACACCATTCCTAATAACAGGGTGGGGGAGCAAATCATCTCCTTCAGACTCACCTGAGGGAGGGAGAAGGGGGTGTGAAGAGGGAGCCTAAGGAGGTGAGAGTGGCCATGTAAAGTAGAGCATAAGGAATATGGTCAGTACTGTTATAACGACTATGTCGGGGCCAGGTGGGTACCTGAAGCATTGGGGCACCACTCTGTGAACTACAAGACTGTCTAACCACTGTGCTGTACACCTGAAACTAATACAGAACAACAATGAACGTAAACTGCAGTTGAAAAAAATTTTTTAATTAAAAATAAAAAGAGGTGTGAGTGGAGGAAAGGGGCTGTGAACCCTGGAGAGCCACACGACCCACCCAAGGAACTCAGGCCCTCCCGTGTTTGTTGATCCATTCATTCAGCCGCTCACTGGCTCATTCACTCCTCCCCCTCCCGGCCCCCTCCCGGCCCTCCTGCCGCACATCCAGTGGCTTACAAACACAAAGCAAAGTGCACAGAACTCTTAGGTCTCATTTACACACCATTTCATCGGTCCCTTGTGATTAACCCAGGCCCGTCCGCAGCACCCTGGACTTTCCCCATCACAAATGCACGGCAGTGTGACTTCTTCATTGACTTCCCCGCCGCGGTGCAAGCTCCATGCGGAAAAGAGCTGCTTCCTCACGGCTGTACCCCCGGGACCCCTGGGCCTCATCTCAGTAAATAACCGTTCAATGAATGAAGAGCGCAGGGCACAGAAAAGTGCTCCGGCTCGAGTTCCCTAGCACTCTCGAAGACCCGAGGTGTTCACCGGCGTCCGTTTGCTCCAGCTCTTTGGGACACAGCCGCGCTAATCGTCCAGCCTCGCTGGCAGGTAGGTGCTGCTAGCACCCGAGTTCCGGTGGCAGTGATGGCAGTGGAAGTGATTGTGCCACTTCCAAGGTGACTCATAAAAACCCTCCCGGGCTTCGCTCCCATGCTTTCACTCCCGCTGGCTGGCTAGCCTGGAGACAAACCCCTCGGGTGACCTCAGAAGCCACATGTTGACACCTGGGATCCTGTGTGGAAAGGAACCACCCCTCTAATGTGTTCATAAGAGAACTAAACTTCTCTCATATTTACATTTAGGAGTCTATGTGTTACTGTAGTTAACCTATCTGACTAATCCAGTAGTAGAGTTTAGCGACAACGAAGATTAAGCTCTCCTAACCGCCATCAGCCAGCGACTGTCACTTTCCTAAGGAGAAATGGAGGCCATTCAGAGGCCAGCACAACCTTCCTTGGTATGTAAGACAACCAAAGTTCTGTTCGCTCGTGATCATCAGGAAGAGATGGGAACCTTGCCTTTGGCTTGCCTGGTCTTGGGCCACAGCCACAAAACACGCTGAGCAAATTCCGGTGATGTCAAAACACTGTTTGCCTTGACCCTCTCAGAAATACAGGTCACACCCCACAGATCTTGGACAAATGCCCAACTGCCTTCTCGAGTTGTCTGGCCCTGGCCTCATCTGTGCTTACTTTGCAAAAATGCCACAAAACACTGCCCCGTTGTTTCCAGGGGAGAGGTTTCCAAAAGCTTTTTCAAAAAGCCACAGCAACCTGCACAGCCACAGAACAATGGTCACACCCAATGTCCCGCCTTCTGAATGAAGCATTCAGCCGACCAGATAGGGATACAACCTCAGACAGAATTCATCTCCCTGTGGCAGAGCTTTCCTTACACTACAGTGTGCTCGACTCTTTCTGCTGTTTCTACTTAACACTAGAGACTTCAAAGAGAAAGCCTCTCCCCAATGGACTGGAGCGTGTAGGGAACTGAATTACATTAAGAGAATTAGCAGCACATACTGCATATAATTGCTTGTTCGACCCAGGTCTAGGAAGCTATTAAAAGGGTAAATTATTGACTAATTCTTTCTTCATCACAGGTCCATTTGTTTGGAGATGTTCCCAATACAGTGGTTCTTAATCTTTTAGGGGTCATAGACCCTTTGAATAATTTGGTGAAATGTCTTGACCCTTTCATGGAAAAATATAAATGTCCACAGGTGCACACATACATTACACATGATTTCAGGTACACATCAGATGCCTAGTTCATCCAAGATCCCAGGTTCATGGACACACAACAGCAGAGGTCAGCAACCTGTCCCTCGAAAGGGCCAGATAGTAAACATTTTTGGCTATTTGGGCCACATACAGTCTCCATCACAGTTACTCAACTCCTTGTTGCAGTGCAAAAGTTGACATGGCTGTGTTCTGACAAAGCTTTATTTATAGACACTGAAATTTGAGTTTCATATAATGTTCATGTCACTAAATATTATTATTCTTTTCAATTTTTTAGCCATTTAAAAAGTAAAAACCCTCCTTAGTTGGTAGTCTGTACGGAAACAGGCGGCAGACCATAATTGGTCAAGCCCTGCTATAGAGCATGGGTTCTAGATAAAAAATATTACACCTTTATTTTCACTGACTTCTAGTGGACATTTTCTATTTCCTTCCATTATGAATGTAGGCAGCCAACCTCAGGAGTGCCAGCAGTAACTTGGCCACCAGCAGCAATCACAGGTATGTTTGCACCACATTAGTTTCAAACAACGCAGAAGATTGATCACGCTCACTGCTATTTTTAAATTAAGGTCATTGTTAGATCTTCTGCTGTATCGTGCTATTTAAATGTGTTGCTAAAGAAGCACATCTATTATTATATCGCAAATTTTATTTTTAATGTTTTGATAACTGTATTTCAATATCTTTCCTTTCCAACCCTATACATTTTATCTTATGGGTTTAAAAACAGAATTCTGAGAAGCAGTCCTGAGCTGTCACCAGGTACCAGCGAGGTCCACGGCACAGAAAAGGTGAAGAGGCCCGAGCAGCTAAAACCACGGCATCACCTACCAGAGCGTTCACGTCTTCGGTCTTGTGGATGAGCATCCGTATCTCCTCCGGGTCACCGCTGAAGATGGCTTGGACCAGTGGAGGCTGTAAACACAGGAGAATCTGAATTACAACTATAATTAAATACATTTCATTGCATTCAGAGACAGATGGCTAGAAAACACGTTCCCCAAAAGTTGATTCAACAATGATCAGCTGGCAGACAAAGATGACTGTGGCTCAGACCCACCCCCGCTAGAAGTCTAGTGGGGGGCTATGTGCATAAAGAAACAACTGCAATACGACCTGAAGGCCATCGCAGACAGTCACATCTCACTTGGGGCTGTGAGTATAACATGAAAATCACCCACAGTTGAAATTGCCCTTGACAGGCCCTTAACTTCCCCATCACGGAAACAACCAAATCGGTGGTTTTGTGCCTGAGTCCCCCGTGGCCCTGCCACCTCTCGCGGGGTGTCCTCACACCATTCCATGCTTAGGGGACGTTAATGGCCACGTTGCTGGCCCCCTGAACACGTCTTTGTCAACATTTGGAAAACCTTTGAAATCGTTCCCGGACACTTCCCATAGCTTCAGCCAACGAGCACTGAGTATTTTAAACGCGATTACAACCCACCGCCTGTCCAAAGGATGTGGCATCGTGGTGCGTAAGGAGCAGCAAGGCAGGGCGTTACCGAGCGCTTCCCACTGGCCTCGCCTACATCACACAGGACGCAGCACATAGTAGGATCTATAAGTGTGATGGAGACACAGCTGAAAGGGAAGCCAGCTCTGCTCGGGTGGCAGGTGGGGTGTGGAGAACGTCCAGAAAAGCTTCAGGAAGGCCCCCTAATGAACACGAGCTTGCACACAGGGAGGGAAGGGCGTTCCAGGCCGAGGAATGAGGGCGCGCAGAGGTATGGACACACAAAGAGCCTGATGTGTTGGAAACGCTGCCATCAACCCGGTGACCAGAGTGTGGGGTACGAGAGGAAACGTGGTGGGCCTGGGGCTGGGGCTGGGCTTGCCCCAGATGGTGAAGATTCCTGTGCAGAGCCAGCCCCCCTGCCTGCCGGCTACGTGCGGAGCTCGCTTCCCCTGCACAACCTGGGGGTGAGCTCGATCTTCGCTGCCCAGCCCTCACAGGACCGTTATTGGGGACAAATGAGATACTATATGAGAAAACCCCTCTGTAGCCATATAACCCTACACAAATAATACGTTTTCTTTCTTTCTTCTTTTTTTTTTCTTTTTGTCTCTTTTAAAAATTTATCTTTATTGTTGAAAGCATTACAGATGTCTCCCTTGTTTTCCCCCCTGACCCCTTCCACCCTGTACTCATGCCCCCCAGGCCTTCACCTCACAATTGTGTGTGTCCAGGGATTATGTGCATATAGATATAAATTCTTTGG